ATTATTTATAATGTATATATATATGTATGTATATACACACACAAATGTATACATATATGTGTGTGGTGTTTGTGTGTGTGTACCTATACTTATTAAAGTAGAAACAGTGTTGTAGGTAGGTGAAAGAGACCATAATATAGTGAGGATTTTGAAACATAAGAGTAATGAAATACTCATGCCATGAAGTCACAGGAAAAGAAGACACTATTTACAAAAAAGAAAGGAGACCAGCAAGTTTGGGACAGAAGAGATAGAGAAGGATAATGTAGGAGAGTGAATATTTAGAACTGAGTGATGACTTATCTGTAATGGCAATGTCAACAAAACACATTTATTTATTGTAACCTTACAATATTTTGTAAAATATGTTCAGAAAAATTTTATAATGTGTCCTTATGATAATACAATTAAAGCAATATTAAAAAGCAAAAATAGGAAATTGAAAAATATATAAAAGTTTTAAAAATGTAAATTATATTAAAACTATTAATTATCTATTTTTTAAAAAAATGTTATTTCAAATATGAGTGAGTACATCCCATGTTCCTCTTTTTGGGTCTGGCTTACCTCGCTCAGGATAGTGTTTTCTATTTCCATCCATTTGCATGCAAAATTCACAAAGTCCTTGTTTTTTACTGCTGAGTAGTACTCTAATATGTATATATTCCATACTTTCTTCATCCATTCTTCCATTGAAGGGCATCTAGGTTGTTTCCAGGTTCTGGCTATAACAAACAATGCTGCTATGAACATAGTAGAACATATACTTTTGTTGTTTGATAAGGCCTCTCTTGGGTATATTCCCAAGAGTGGTATTGCTGGGTCCAGGGGTAGGTTGATTCCGAATTTCCTGAGAAACCACCACACTTAATTAGTGATCCTAGAGAAACAAAATAAGGAGAACCCAAAGAAAAACATATAGGCATCCTCCTGGAAATTAACCTTCATCAGGCGATGAAAGGAGACAGAGACAGAGACCCATATTGGAGCACCGGACAGAAATCTCAAGGTCCAAATCAGGAGCAGATAGAGAGAGAGCAGGAGCAAGGAACTCAGGACCATGAGGGGTGCACCCACACACTGAGACAATGGGGACATTCTATGGGGAACTCACCAAGGCCAGCTGGCCTGGGTCTGAAAAAGCCAGGGATAAAACCGGACTCGCTGAATATAGCGGACAATAAGGACTACTGAGAACTCAAGGTCAATGGCAATGCGTTTTTGATCCTATTGCACGTACTGGCTTTGGGGGAGCCTAGGCAGTTTGGATGCTCACCTTACTAGACCTGGATGGAGGTGGGAGGTCCTTGGACTTCCCACAGGACAGGGAACCCTGATTGCTCTTTGGGCTGACGAGGGAGGGGGAATTGATTGGGGGAGGAGAGGCAAATGGGAAGCGGTGGTTGGGAAGAGACAGAAATCTTTAATAAATAAATAAATTTTTTAAAAATTAAAAAAATAAAAAATATATTATTTCATAAAGAACATTAAGAGGGGAAAGTTTATAAATTGGTATGTATATGGAACATTTTAAATAACCCATATATATGTAATTTTAATCTAGAAGAACCCATTTTTTAGGAGAGCATTGTAGAGAGCTTCTATTTTTTATTAAAGGAGTGGTAACCTATTGCTTTACCAATTGTACTTACCTTGTCCCCAAATCTGAACATTTAGGAGTAGGTTTGTGATAATTTTAGGCTTAGTAGTATCAGATATACACTTGAATTTTATTTGATACCACTTAAACTTCCTTAATTCTAGCATGAATCATAAATAATTTTCTTAAATAATGTGAGCAGAAGGTGGGATGCATTGATTACAGCTAACAAGACAGGTGCTTTAAGCACATGTGGCTTCTTATAATTTGGTTCTGTTTACTTGCTTCCCAGGATTACTAAGATTTATGAGACAAAATCTGTTTGCATGGAAAAAAGTACAGTGTGACATTATACTGTAAAATACATTATGCAATGGTTGCTATGATCAAGTAATTAACATATTCATCAGTTCATGTTCTTTTGTTGTTGTTGTTGTTTTGTTTTGTTCTTTTCAGGAACAATTTGTCTTAGAAAATAGGTTAGTGTACTCACGTTTCTTTATAACAGAATTTAGCATGCATGATTGGAAAATTGTGTGTGTGTGTGTGTGTGTGTGTGTGTGTGTGTGCCCTAGAGCACTCTGAACAGCTGCAGTGCAATCACAGCCTACAGATAAATGCCAGGTGTCATTTTCCCACTTTAATTCAACAAGCTATAGCATTTCACTGAACCTAGACCCAGGTTGGCAGCCAAGAAGTTCTATCAATTCGTCTACCTCCATTCTGTTAAATTTTATAATTGTACGGTCTCCTATGGATTTTATCACTTTACGTGGATCCACATGCTTGCACATCAAGTGCTCTTGCTGAATCAATCTTTCTAGACCTTTTGCATATTTTGAAGTTTGTAGGGGGGGAGTCACAACTTTCTTTTCCATTTTTACTTTTTGTAATAGGACTTCAAGGATGTCTGCTGGCAGGTGATATTCTCAGACAACTAGGCAAAATGATTCATTTTATTAACTCACTTGTTTATACAACTTATTATCCACCATGCCTTGCTGTACACTTACATTTAGATTCACAAACAATTTAAAGGAATTCTTCCTTCTTTTTGTAAAGCCAATAATCTCTCTCTCTCTCTCTCTCTCTCTCTCTCTCTCTCTCTCTCTCTCTGTGTGTGTGTGTGTGTGTGTGTGAGTGTGTGTGTGTGTGTGTGTGTGTGTGTGTGTGTTGAGTCATGATATGGCTAAAGTGGAATTTTTTTCCAGCATGAATTTACAACTGAAACAAATAAAAATCTACAACAGAAAATTTAGTCTATCCTGATTTTTTTAGGTGAAACTTTACACAATACCTCATCACCTTTTATTCTTTTGGTCTTCGTAAAGTTCTTAGTGTATGATGCCTGGAGAGAACTCTATACTAGAGAGAGGAAGACATTTGAAGAGATATGAGATGTGACCTAAAACAGCTATCCCTCCTTTAACATCTTGCAAGTGTTTTCATGTCCATTATAAGGATGGATAGCTTTCTACTGGATAGCATAGTGTGTTTAGAGAATAATTTATGGTATCACAATTTTCTGCAAAACAGAACATCCTTTACCATCCAAAAGGGAAAAAAAACTCATTTGTGATGTTTGAAAGCAATGGAAAATGAAGCAAGGACATTAAAATAAAATTCAGATCTCTGAGTTTTCGAAAACATGGACAATTCTTCAGTTTCACTCATACCAGAATGGCAAGTCTGGCATGTTCACTTGTGTGATTTGTGGCATTATAGAACTTTTTTTAAAGCAAAATATTTATAAAATAATCCTTTTTATTATTGTTGTTTGCTTGCATTTTTTGTTTGATGTGCTTAGTTTTTGAGATGGTGTTTCCCTGTGTAACATCCCTGGCTGTCCTGGAACTAACTCAGTTGATCAGGCTACCTAGCTCTAGTATATTTCTTATTTGAGAAAATTATTGTAAAACACCCAAATGGCAAATCATTTTGAGCAGACATCAAAGTAAGCTTCCAACAAAGAAAGCAATCATTCTTTAAAAACAAAATTGAGTTGTTAAAGGAACAGCTTATAATGAGTATCAAGCTACAATGAAAAGTAAAATGAAATAAAACAAGAGAAGATTAAATATTCTCCATGAAAATTTTTAGTTGAAGTAACATGATTAAAAAAAAAAACATAGCTTCATAACAGTTCCAGTTACAGATTATGGGCACTTATGAGAAGTTTAAAAGGTAAAGGTACATGGCAAACAATGAGGGCTGATGAGAAGCCAAGGACAATGGCACGGGGTTTTGATCCTACTTCATGTTCTGGCTTTGTGAGAGCCTGGCCAGTTTAGATGTTCACCTTCCTAGACATGGACGGAGCAGGGAGGTTCTTGAACTTTCCACAGTGCAGGGAACCCTGACTGCTCTTTGGACTGGAGAGGGAGGGGGAGAGGAGTGGGGGGAGGGGAGAAGTGCGGGAGGAGGGGGAGGGAAATGAGAGGCTGGGAGGAGGAGGAAACTTTTTTTTTCTCAATAAAAAAAATTCCAAAAAAAAAAAAAAAAAAAAAAGGAAAGGTACCTGTTGCCAAGTCTGACAACCTGAGCTCAGTCCCAGGTAGAGAGAACCAACTTTTGAAAATTACCTCTGACCTCACATTCAGATTACATGCACTTGGTTCTTGTCATGGTGACATTTCAGGAAATGTCAAAGTAAATATATCCAATATAGACTGTCAATGAAACAATAACTTTATATACAAATTTATTTTTATAAATTTTGCAAATATTGACAAATAAATGACAATATATAATAAAAACCTAAAGAATAAATAAATAGGGAGAAAGGAACTATTGAATGTCATTTCCCACCTCAAATAATTTAGATCATTGGAACCATAAGCAGTCCAACTCATACATCAACAATGATAATGAACCAGTTTCAAAACTTAGAACTTTTGAGACCTATTTGGTCATGTTATAAAAAGGAGCTTTTGTGACGGCGGCGCCGGCCCACACGCGCGCTGCGGCGGCTCCCTCCCAGCCTCCCCTCCCCTCCCCTCAGTCCCTTTCCCCTTCCCCACCCCGCCCTGCCGGGCCAGCGCAAGCCGTCGCCCGCCCTCAGCATCGGCCCCCAATGTCAGCCCGCGCGCCGCGGGCTGGGCCCCTAGCTCCTCCTCTCAGGTTCCGCGGGCGCCGGGCGCTCTCCTCCCCGCAACTCGTACTCTCACACCTCGCGGGCACGCGGGCAAGCGGCGCCGCCATGAGCGCCCAGTTCCAGGCTGCACACTGGCCTAGGTGCGGCGGCCCGAGATAGGGTCCCCTGAGCCTCCCGGGGGAGGAGAGGAGCCAGCCCCGCGCTCCGCCCCCTCCCCCCGCGATTGCCGGCGCTGCCGCCACCTCGCCGCCTCAGCCAGGCGGGGAGGAGGAGTAGGAGCAGGAGCAGGCCTCCGGACCCCGCACCGCCACCCGCAGGACATTTCTGATTGATTGCATCCTTGAAGAGCATCAGTAGAAGAGGAAAAAAAAGATGGGTGTGAAAACATTTACTCACAGCTCCTCTTCCCACAGCCAGGAAATGCTGGGAAAACTAAATATGTTACGAAATGATGGACATTTTTGTGATATCACTATTCGTGTCCAGGATAAAATCTTCCGGGCTCATAAAGTGGTACTAGCAGCTTGCAGTGATTTCTTTCGCACAAAACTTGTGGGCCAAGCAGAGGATGAGAACAAAAATGTGTTAGATCTTCATCATGTTACAGTGACTGGCTTTATACCTCTTTTAGAATACGCTTACACAGCCACTCTGTCAATTAATACAGAAAATATTATTGATGTTCTAGCTGCAGCCAGCTATATGCAAATGTTTAGTGTTGCTAGTACCTGTTCAGAGTTCATGAAATCTAGTATTTTGTGGAATACACCCAATAGCCAACCAGAAAAGGGTCTAGATGCTGGGCAAGAAAATAGTTCTAATTGCAATTTTACTTCTCGAGATGGAAAGTATTTCTCCAGTGTCTTCAGAGTGCAGTGTTGTGGAAAGGACCATTCCTGTCTGCCAAGAATCCCGGAGGAAATGCAAAAGCTACATTGTGATGTCTCCCGAGAGTCCTGTAAAATGTAGCACACAAACAAGTTCACCCCAGGTATTGAATTCCTCAACTTCCTATGCAGATAATAGAAATCAGCCAGTTGACTCTTCCTTAGCTTTTCCATGGACTTTCCCTTTTGGAATTGATCGAAGGATTCAGCCTGAGAAAGCAAAGCAGACAGAAAATACCCGGACTTTAGAGTTGCCTGACCCATCTGAGGCAGGTAGAAGAGTGACTGACTACGTGACTTGTGAGAGCACAAAAGCTACCTTGCCTCTAGGTACAGAAGAAGTTGTGCAGGTCAAAGTAGAAAGATTAAGTGATGAGGAAGTCCATGAGGAAGTGTCCCAGCCTGTCAGTGCGTCTCAGAGCTCACTGAGTGATCAGCAGACAGTGCCGGGAAGTGAGCCAGTTCAAGAGGACCTTCTGATTAGTCCACAGTCTTCCTCTATAGGCTCAGTAGATGAAGGAGTTACAGAGGGGTTGCCTACACTTCAAAGCACTTCTAGCACCAATGCTCATGCAGACGATGACGACAGATTGGAAAATGTTCAGTATCCCTACCAACTCTACATTGCTCCTTCTACCAGCAGTACAGAACGACCAAGTCCAAATGGTCCAGACAGACCTTTTCAATGTCCAACCTGTGGGGTTCGATTCACCCGTATTCAGAACCTAAAACAGCACATGCTTATCCACTCAGGAATTAAACCATTTCAGTGTGACCGCTGTGGAAAAAAGTTCACCAGGGCTTACTCGCTAAAGATGCATCGCCTAAAGCATGAAGGTAAAAGCTGTTTCCGGTGCCAGATATGTAGTGCCACTTTCACTTCCTTCGGGGAATATAAACACCATATGAGGATTTCCCGGCACATTATCCGCAAGCCTCGGATTTACGAGTGCAAAACATGTGGCGCCATGTTCACCAACTCTGGAAATTTAATCGTGCACCTGAGGAGTCTGAACCATGAAGCATCAGAGCTAGCAAACTACTTCCAGAGCAGTGATTTCTTAGTGTCGGACTACTTAAACCAGGAGCAAGAAGAGACTCTGTTCAGTATGATCTTGGAGAAAACACTTTTGAAAGCAACTCTTCTGTTCAAATGCCTGTGATTTCACAGGTCTCCTCAACCCAGAATTGTGAAAGTTCTTTCCCTTTGGGGTCTCTTGGTGGGCTTGCAGAGAAGGAGGAGGATGTGCAAGACCAGCCAAAGACCAGTGCTCATGCTGAGGCCACCCAAGATGACCCCCCAAAGTCAGAGCTGTCTTCTATAACTATCGAGTAATTTTGTGATTTGGCCTTGGTTTTGGTTTTTGGAAAGTGCCTGTGCTTGGTCTTTAATGTTTAAAGTTAACTTTTCAAACAAAGAAGGGTGCCCTTTGTAAGCCCTGAAATTGGAGGGTTGCTTTGTTTTTGTTTTTTCATAGCTGAGAGATTGCTTCTGTATGTATACAATAAGGTAACATTGAAACAGAATATAAACTCTGAGAGTTAAAGAGAAGCAGCTGATTTCAAACATGGCAATTCTTCCCATTGTTAAAGTGGGCAGCAGCAGATACAGAAGAAACCAGGTTATTGTTGACTTTCCTGAGATAAGAGGGCTCATGGGAAGTTAGTAAACAGAATTTGACAATGCCTAAGTAAATGTTTACTCCTAGATGCAGGGTGTTATAAACCCTGTAGTTTTGGAAGTATTTATGGTAATTTTTTCAAATGAAGGTAAATAACTTTTGAAATCCAGCATATTCTTTTTTTAAGCCATTATGAATTTTCATGGTGAAAAATTGGTATCGGGCAGGCATTTCCTGTACCTTTATAGTACCACTCCAAAGGCTAAGAGGTGTGATTGAGAGAAGTCAGGCTGTGCATGGAATGGCCAGGGTACAGAATGAGGTATGTATACCCCAGCTTTATAGGAATTGTTTTAATACTGTTTTTCTTACTAGAATGAATGTTTACCTGGCCTTTGAATGCTGATACCTGGCTAACTAGGACATTGCCCAGATAAGTGTCCTATTGTCCCATCAACAGTACTTTCACTTGCATATACTATTGTGCTGCCATATAAAAGAAAAATATTGAAGATATTCTATATTTTATATATAGGTTTATGTATTGTTGGGGATGTTTATGCTGTGCTGTTTGGGACAAAATAAAAGAATTCTGTTTTGAGGCTACCTTCTTAAAAAAAAAGGAGCTTTTGAATAAGAAAGAATAATGAACATCTAATAACAGCAATGTTGATCATTTGTATTATTAGTTAATTGATAAGCACTTTCCTAAATGATTTCTCTCTATATTTTATATAAGCCTAGAAGCTATCCAAGCAGGAATGTTTACTGTCTACATTTTATTAACAAAAATAAAGGAAAAATAATTATCCTAAAATTATACAAACATTAGAAATAAAGCAAGATCCTAACATACTTATTTGAATAGAAAGTAAGGTAATAATACTAATATTTTGTCTCAAATATTTCATATCAATGCTTTAATAGGAAAATTATAAAAAAATCACAATTTTAAGGTAAATGGTAGAAATGTGATAGATTTGAAAAATAAAATATATCTTTTCTGTAAAGAACATATAATAGCAACTACTAATGTGATAAACATCTATTTTTAATTATTTATTTTTATTAATTCTTTGGGAACTTTTTTTTATTTATTATGTATACAGTACTCTATCTGTGTGTATGCCTGCAGGCCAGAAGAGTGCACCAGACCTCATTACAGATGGTTGTGAGCCACCATGTGGTTGCTGGGAATTGAACTCACGACCTTTGGAAGAGCAGGCAATGCTCTTAACCACTGAGCCATCTCTCCAGCCCCCCTTTGGGAACTTTTTAATATGTTTTGATCATATTCAGCTTATCTTTCCCAACAAATTTGCTCCCCTTGCTTACTGACCAACTAAGTCTTATTTTTTTTTCTATCAAGGTCAATATACAGCACAAATATTCATGCATTATGAATTTACTGTAGAATATCATCAATTTATTAGGAACTATAATTTTAAATAAACTTTCATTCCCAGCAAATAAGAATTGCCAGTAGCTCCTCATCTAGGGAATGAATTCCCTGCCCCTCTCTATGATGGGATTTGGTCTTGTTTAAGCTTGCACAGGTTTTGTATAAGATATCACAACCACTGTGTGCATAGCTGTCCTACTATGACTGGAATAAAATTTTCCCTTATGGTTACCCACTATCTCTGACTCAAACAATATTTCGATCCTCTCTATGGTAATGATTTCTGACCCATCAGAAAAGATATTATTCAGTCAACTATTCTCTGCACCTTAGCTAGTTGTAGGTCTCTGTGTTAATCATCATGTAGTTCAAATAGAAATTGCTCTTATGCTTTTTGAGTTACCTTCACCTATAGGTATAATGATAAGTCGTTAGGAATTGGTTTAACATTATGCCCCTTTGGAAAAATAACAGTTTTCCCCCTAAAATTCATGAACTATTTGGCCACAGATTCTCAGACTGATAATTGTGTCACATACTGGTTTCATCTTTTATTGTAGTCATTTTATCCAGTAATAAAGTAGTTAGTTACTCCTGTGATATTTGTGCCATTATTGTACAATGGGATATGCCTTGTCAGGCCAGTAATTGTTACAGTTCTTGAAGTTCACAACTTAGTACAGACAATGATGATTTTTTTCTTTTGGTAGTATACATATCACTTTTCAGCAATGTGATAATTAGACAGCAGGGATCAAGCTTCCTGGACATTGCCAGCTTGATTTCTCTATGTTATATGACTCAAGAATGTGGTATCTTAAATTACAGGGTCTTACCATCAAGTTCTAGAGAGGAACCAGGAGTGATGGCAATGATCTGTTATGGTTCAGGCTTGATGGGACATCATTGGCCAAGAACTTGAAAACAAGTAATACCTATTCTTCACTTAGGGGCAACACATTAATCAGACTGGGTTTGTTGTATTTACATTTTCTGACATATATGATCTGTCTTTGTTTTTTTTTTGAAAAATTATTTAATTTTTTTTGTTGTTTTTTTTGAAAAATTATTTAATTTTTTTGTTGTTTTTTTTGAAAAATTATTTAATTTTTTTTGTTTTTTTTTGAAAAATTATTTAATTTTTTTTGTTTTTTTTGAAAAATTATTTATTTATTTTTTTGTTTTTTGTTTTTTTTTTGAAAAATTATTTAATTTTTTTTTGATCTGTCTTTGCATATATATATATATATATATATAATATCTGTTTAGTAAAAAAAAATCCCTTTTGTTCTTGAGGAATTCTATGACACAGTTCATCAGTTCATTAATATACATTGGATTACTGAAAAGGAAACAAAAAGTAAAACCTGAAGGTCCCATAATATTTTCACAAATGTACCCTTTCTCTTCTTCTTTTCTTTAACCTGATATGCCATCATGTAATAGAGTATTTATTATCTGAAGGAATCAGGAGACCCTACCTAGTATCCAGAATTAGTCCTTTGAGATGAATTAATCTTAATTAAATTTTCTTTTTGCTCTACCAGTAAGTGTTTTAATCCACATATAGATTTATTTGCAAATGGAATATAGTAAAGAACTTATCAACAATGCTTCCTCTGGTGGAATTTTGATATATTGATGCCTAAAGTTTGGTAAACTAAGTCCCAGAATGATCAATTTCTTGTCTTAAAAATGATATAAGTTCTTTAAAGCATGTAATTAGTGCTGATATAACATCAATTTTTCCTAGACTACACAGGAAACTACATGAGAACAAACCATTTATTCCTGAAAATTCCCAGTAATTTTGCATTTTAATTTCTTTTAGCTGTTTGCCAACTTCAATTACACTGTATACACTATCCAATATACTAAAAGTAATGGAATAGTCATGTAGTTGTTGTATATTTAGTACAGATATTCTTGCCTATTTTGCTTACTTCAGAATTGAAAAGGTGGTGTGATTGAAGCAGGAAATAAAACATTCTGAAACAAACCATAGTTTGTGAAGATCCTAATTTGTTTCTTAAAACTGTTGGTTTGTTTGTAGCTGGGTTTGCCCCTGCACAATTTTGATATCCCCTTCCATCATGCCTTGTTTTCTGAGACAGGGTCTCTCTTTCTGAACATAGAACTAAATGATTCAGGCTTATTCACTGGCCAGTTAAATCCCAAACATATTTTTCTCTGATCTGAAGTTTCCAAAGATTTTCATCAAATCTGATTTTATGTGAATGCTGGGGATACAACATTAGGTGTTCAACAGAAGTACCAAATCATATTACCCAATGGGATATCTTCCCAGTGCTTTTATTTGGTTTACAGAAATTATTGCACAATTTAAATGCATTAAAATATGAAAATGTTTTGTCCTAAATCATTTCTGGAAACATACTGTGCTTCACTGGGCTTAATTTCTCACAAGTTATTTTCACCAACTGTGCAACTGGCACTGGTTGGGTCAAGTTCAATACACACAAAATAGGAGAATTTACCAAATTTAAGTAAGTATTTAAAAGCCGTTTAATCCATCTTACCACTTCAATAGCTTTTTAATAAGACAATTCACTTACTATAAAATTCATAGTTTCAGTATATTCAACCCATGTTGAACTTTCAGTATCATCATAATAATCCATAATCAAAAAATAAGAAATTCAGCAATCATCATTTTTAAATTGTAAGTAATTTCCATCACCCTAGAATAAAACTTTATTCCATTCACGGTCACTTCATATTTACCTTTTCTTTCAAGATTTTCAAGTGATCACCTGTATGTACTGTTTTCTTCTGTGAAGACAAAAATGACACAATACACTATGTTGCCTTCAGGTGTCATTTATACTGCATTTTGCTATAACTTTGCCACTTTTCGTTGAATATTATATTTGATGACTGTACCATTATATATATACATTATATACACACACACACACATATATATATACATACATACATACACACACACACACACACACACACACACACACATATATATATATATATATATCAGGTAGGTGATAAATAACTGAGATTTGTAAACTTTTTTTATTAAAAATATTGCTGCAAGAAATACTGATTTACACATCATTGTGTGGAGTAAAGCAGGAATTTTAGGTAGATACGTAGAAATAGGGTTTTTCAAACTTATGGAAACTTAAACATGTTTAAAAGAAAATGTCAGATTATTTTCAAAATATCTTCCATGTTGTATCTTTATTACATTAGCTAAACTTGCATGACTCTTTCTCTTTGAGTTCCTATTACAGCCAATGTAGAACATTTTCCTGTTACCTGTATCTTGATTTCAACCATCATATTACATTTTCAATGGTTTACAGGTTGCTAAATAATCAGTCCGTGGCTTTATGAGGTAA